AAAAAAATGATTTCCCATGCATCTTTCTTCAAGAAACAGTTATTTTTCAGCAGTAGCTCACCACTGCTGGAAGGAAGTAGATGATGTGTTTAAGTCAACTACAGTTAACTGCTTGTTTAAATAAAATAAATATTTCTCAGAGGAACATAGCAAAATCCAGTATTTGCAATGTATCATTCAGGATATTTCAGATAAAATCCTAGATCCCTTAAAATATGAAGTTGTAGGCAAACCTGTTGCATCCCCAAGAGAACAGACAAGATAAAAGAATGATTCTACAAGGTCCCAGATATTAAAATTAGCAGACAGAGGTTTTAAAACCAACTAGTATAATGACACTTAAGAATAGAAGTGGAATTTCCAGAGAAAGTACTCAACCAAAGAGAGAGAGAATTGAATTACACAAATATGGAAGCTGTGAAATCCCAAATTCTATAGTTGGCAAGCTGGAGACACAGAGAACTGAAGTGTAGTTCCAGCTCAGATTCAAAGAACTGATAGCCAAGAGGTATTTCCAGTCCAAATGAAAGGCCAAGAATGACCAACGTTCAAAGCACTCAGGCAGAAGGAGTTCCCACTTTTTCAAGTGATTAGTTCAGGCTGGCCCTCAAATAATAAAGCAGATGCTTTATTCAGATTTTTAACAGATTTCTTTACTCAGATTACTAATTGTAATATTAGTCTTACCTCAAAATAGCCTTACAGTCACACCCAGAATAATGTTTGACCAAATGCCTGGACACAGTTACCAAGTGAAGTTAACACATAGAAATAACCATTACAAATACACAAAGACATAGAGCTAGAACAAACATTACTGGTATGTAAGTGTAGCCTAGTAAGAGAAAAGAAGTAAATAGAAGTATGAAAACATAGGGGGAAAGTAAGAGACAGTCAAGACCAAACTGAAGTTAAATAAAAGTAAATTGTCGTAGATCATAGAACAAGAACTATGGACATTGTTATATGAAGAAGATCATTTTAACACTTAAATCTGGGATGAAACACAGTCAAGAGAAACTGAAATTTAGAAATCAATAAACAAAGAACCCTAAGGCCTAGATTCAGATAAATATAGTAGAAGCAGCGAGCAAATTCAAGACCTTAAGCAGATTAAAACAAATATCAAAATCAACAGAATTTGGTCAAAATTTTAAAAGTGGGGAGAAAAATTAGTTTGACTACTAGTGTCATTAATTGCATGAGAAAATGAGAACAGATGACATGTAAAGTTTAAGTGTATCTTTACAGATCAATCTCCAAATAAAATGATATATTTAAAATGTATAGAGAGTTTTAATGTGCTAGTTTTTTTTTTTTTTAAGATTTATTTATCTATGCATACAGACACTGGGTTACAAGCCAGAGGTGCAGGGGTGGTGAGAGGATTCACCAAGAGACAAAGTGGGGTGCAGAACAGGCAGATTGACAGAGTACACTGCTGTGGGGAGCAGCGGGCGGGTCAGGAGAGGTCTGCCGTGCCATGTGGATCTCCTCCAGGGGCTGGGGATTGAACTAACACTAAAGCTGCTGCAGCTCTCTTGCATTGCTGCGCCTTAACCCGTTGTGCCACCAGGGAGGGCATAATGTGCTAATTTTAATGTGTTTTTAAATAGTGGTCATAGTACAATTTTTAAGAATGGAAATAATATTTATGAGAAAACTTAAGATGCAATAAAGGAATGCTTATCATGATAAAATAATGTCTGCCAGTAAAACAGTTTACTACTTTATCAATAAATGTAAGATTATTGTAACTAACTTTATCCATACGGTTAAGAAAATTAACTGAATATATGTATTCAACTAGTGATAGTTTTTAATTGTTTAAATTAGTCTAGTATCCCTCTGCTGTCATACTTGCATGTTTTATAATGCACTAAAATATATGCTACTTTAGGGGCCCTCCCTGTTGGTGCAGCAGGTTAGGACACAGCACTGCAAGTTGCCCGCAGCCGTCTCAGTGCGAGTTTGATCCCTGTAGGTGACCCATATGGCACAGTAGACCTCTCCTGTCTCACTTGCTGCTCTTCTCAGCAGTGCAGTTCCTCAATATGCCTCTTCTATTCCCCACTCTGTCTCTGGTGAGTCCTCTCATCCCACTCCCACCCTCTGCACCTCTGGCTTGTACCCTAGCTCCACATGCATAAATAAATAAATCTTAAAAAAAAAAAAAACCTTTTTAAAAATATATGCTATTTTATGGGACTATGGTGGTGGCACAGGGGTGATTTGGTGATGGGAAACCCGTGGGGATTACAATTGAGATGAAAAAAAAAATGTGAAAAATGATGTAAAAATAAACTTTTTAATAAAAAAAAAGTTAAAAAAAATATATATGCTATTTTAATTGTAATAAAAGTTATAGAATGGGTCCGGATTTAATGTTATTTTGATTACTGCCAGAAGTCTTTGACTTGCCATAATGAATAATGAAGTAGAATTTCCATTTATCTCCAAATGTAAGAAATTGGAGGATATTTTTATACTAAGGAATCAATGTTTTTCAAGATATTGAAAGTACCAGGAATATTTTGTTATACTAGTTCCCTGGCTCTAGTATTATTTTCAGGTTAAATGCACTAATCTTGAGCTCAACATCCTGTGGAATCAGGATGCCGAGCTTCTATTTTTTTAAGCTGGTCTTGTTAAAAAAAGAGTTTCTTTAATCTTCTGATCAGCACACAAAAAAAGTTATAGAATTAAGCCAATGAGAAGGAGTATGTATTCACAGACTTTAATGTGATCACTATAATTTACTGGTTAGATTGCTCACCTCACTTGGTAGAGAAGAAGCACCCAGAGTTTGGAAGAGGTAATTTTGGGAAACATGGGACATACCAGAGACAGCAGAGTTGGTGCAGTAGCACAGTATTTATTACCATCCCCCAGATGACACCCTTTATGGGAGTCCAAGGAATACTAGATAGGACATCTATAATCTTAGTAAGAATAGTAATTATGTTAGGGGAGCTAGTAAGTCAACAGATGAAAACTAAAGATAAGGTTTTCCTCCTAAATATGATAGCATAATCATAAATTCCAGATTCATACTGTAATGTGTACTGGTTTCTGCATATCTTAGCCAACACTTGTTTTCTGTTTTGTTTTTTAACATGGCCATTTTCACTGGTATACGGTGGTATCTCATTGTGGTTTTGATTTGCATTTCCCTCACTAGAAGTGGTGTTGAATATTTTTCATATACTGGTTGATCATTCTAAATGGAGATTTTAAATAGTGTTTAAAATACAGATATATGTAGTGTGGATAAATTGATTCATTGGGAAAATCATAGGGTTTTGTATTCCTGTGTGTGTGTATATGTGTGTGTGTGTTCTAACCCTTTATTAACATGAGCACAATTGCGTATTTATATGTATGTATGTATTTATACATATGTATGTATATATGTATGTTATATCTGGTATTTTACAGTTTCCAAACCACCATCATTGCTTTAAAGAAAATATGAAGTTATTTGATACCACTGCCTCCTGACTCTCTGTCCAGACAAATGGATGTGTATCCTATTCTTTTTCATACTGATCGAGTATATTTTAAACTGTGATAGAAATGTTTTTATTTGAAAAAGCATATATACACATATTTTCTTGGCACTATTGCACAATTTAAAAAGATATGTTCAAACTTTTACTACTGAAAACGCTTAGTTTCTTTTGGGGCGCATATATGGTCTTTTAAAATGCTTTCCCCCAAGATTGCATTTTAAATGGTTCACATATAAATTTAAATTTCTATTTTTAGATAGAATGATGTTTATATACCAGCCACTAGTATCCAGGAAATTTGGTGGTAAGGCTGACACATAGGGAGTTTATAGTCTATTTTGTAGTCTGTGTATTTAGACAAGATTTGGAGCTTACTTTGCAAAACATTCAAACAGAATTTCTTCAGTACAAATGGAATATTTGATTTCTCATAATTGTTAAGATAACAGTATGTCACTTTTAAAATATTAGTTCTCAGGGATATGTGTTAGTTATGTTCCCTTCAAAGAAGGATGTATTCTGGAACAGTTTTATGTGTAAATAGTTTTACAATATTTGGATAGAACTGGTTTGGTACAATCACTATGGTTTGATCAAAATTGGAAGAAGTTATAGGCACATTTTGCAGTGTTTCCTCCAGCATCTTTATTTTCTTCAGCTGGACATATTTTATGTTCCTTCCAACTAATCAAAATAAGAAACTGATTTTGCCTGTGCCAAAAAATAGAACTATCATTTTTCACATTCTTTAATTTTCCAGGTCATTTTAAGTAAGATTGTGTTTCTGGGGCTCCTGAATTCCAGAAAACTCTCAACTTTGTAGATATAAGGGCCCAGATGAGCATTTCAGGGGGAATCTAACTTTTCATGCAGTATGTTTTGTGTTGTGCATTCCAGATACAGTTAACTTTTTGTGTGCATGTGATTACTGTGGAAAGAAATTAATGCAGTCCAGTATTATGATTTATGGACTGAATCCTTTGCCCACTGAAGACTTGCCAAAAATAAAACTATTTTTTTTCCTTTGGATATTAGAAACAGCTACTGTTTTTGTTGATCTTTTAAAGTTCTGAATGGGCCTATTTCAAATCATACCAGCATGGGAGCTCAGATTAATAATATACTTATTCAACTAGTGATACTGAGTGAAACCATTGCTCACATGGATATGAGGATAAAATTTCATAAAATTATTTTCAGGTGCATTAATGCATTTCTGGAAGCTGCACATGATTTTTCTTTTGCATGAAAGAAATCAAGGATTTCTGTTTATTGTATCAGTTACAGGTGGGCTTATAAGTTAATTTAATTGCATTTTTTTTAACCTTAAAACACAAGACATTTTACTTTTAAAAGCAGTAATGTGATTGCTGGATTATTCCCAAAGGTTTTTAACTCTTAGTAGATTTATCTCTCTTGAGACATCAGGGCTGTTGTATATTTAATTTAGACTATTGAGAAAAATTCCTAAATTTCCTTTGTTGTTAGCTACAGCAAGCTGCTGAAATTTCTCAGCTTCGTGGAGCAAGAGTAATCTCAGCTGAAGATCTTCTGTTTTTGATGCGCAAAGATAAGGTAATAAACAATTTCCTTGTATTAAAATACCCTGCTTGGTGCTTTCTTACGCTTATAGAAGGGAATCTATGCATCCTTATTAAATAATGTTCAAATTAGATTCATAACTGTTAAACTGACATCTTAGTTTTTAGTGTTTATACAACAAATGATTCACTACAAGAAAATTAATACTTACTTTTACATGGGCGCAGCAATGCAAGAGAGCTGCAGCCGCTTTAGTGTTAGTTCGATCCCCAGCCCCTGGAGGAGATCCACATGGCACAGCAGACCTCTCCTGACCCGCCCACTGCTCCCCACAGCAGTGTACTCTGTCAATCTGCCTGTTCTGCACCCCACTTTGTCTCTTGGTGAATCCTCTCACCACCCCTGCACCTCTGGCTTGTAACCCAGTGTCTGTATGCATAGATAAATAAATCTTAAAAAAAACAAAAAAACAAACAAAAAACCAGCACATTAAAACTCTCTATACATTTTAAATATATCATTTTATTTGGAGATTGATCTGTAAAGATACACTTAAACTTTACATGTCATCTGTTCTCATTTTCTCATGCAATTAATGGCACTAGTAGTCAAACTAATTTTATAGAATGGACCGAATATAAAGGAACTAATTAGTTAACATACTGGTTTAGAAATCAAGGTGAAAAATGGTAAGTATAATAGCAGTGGAAGTAAATATTTACAAAGTTACTTAATATTTATTCCATATTTTTTTATAGAAAAAACTTAGAAGACTCCTAAAATACATGTTTTTCCGAGACTACAAATCAAAGATTGTCAAAGGCATAGATGAAGATGATCTTCTGGAAGGTAACCAAAACACTAAACTAAAAACAGTATGATGTGTATGTTGGTGACACACTTATGAAATCTCAGTGCATGTATCCCCATCAGAGTAGAATATATTTCTGTTTAATAACGTAGTTTAGAAAATACCAATATTTATTTAGTTGGCAGTAAAAATCTTGTAATTTTCTATTTATGTGACTGCCCAGTAATCTGTATTTTCAGTTCTTTCTTTTAATATGTCATGCTTTGCACCAGCATGTCATGAAAATAAGAAAATTGCATTTATTCAAATATAATTGATTTAAGCAAGTATAATTTTGTTTGTCATGGATATAGAGAGCCAAAATTATTATAATATGCCTTAAATTGACATGGGTTTTTGTTAATTTACTATAAAAACTATCTGATATGTTTTATGATAAAAGTCACCTCATGTTAGTAATATCTATGCTACTTGAAATCTAACAGAAAACCTAACACAAAATTGAAAATTTTCCTTATCTGATTTTTTCAAATAAGTTCGCTATTTTAGAATATTTAGAGAAAACAATTAATGCTGCAAAATCAAACAGTTCTAAGCTAAAGATAGATAAGTACTGAAAATATTTATTGAAGCAAAACAAATATTTTATGACTTTAGAAAGGGCTCATATATTTTGTGTTGAATATAGTCTTTGCATAGTAGCCATGCATTGCTAATAGATTCACTGATAAACAAAGTAGACCCACTACATTAAGGAGACCCACTACATTAAGAGACTTCCAGAAAACAAATCAAAACTAACTAAATAGCTATCAAAGTTTGAAGAGACCTAGGTACTTTCTTTTAGTTTCAACAAATTAGCAAGTGAAATAGCCATATAAAAATATTTCTGATCAAGTTTTTTATTCAGTGTTGCCTATTTAATATGTCTGTATTTCTTATAGAATTTGATTACTAAGAAATAGCCCACCAGATGAATTTAAATGCTTCATTTTGTAAAAAGAATAATGAATACAAACTTCGAGCAAAATAGACCTGAATTCCAGTCAACCTTGATTCTCTGCTTTTTCTGTGTGTTTCTGTGAGGGTCAGTTTTCTCATTCCTATATCAGTAATTTTATTCTCTTACCATGTGGAGTTCTTATGACAGTTCAACATAATGTATGAAAATCACTGATACATTACTGTCATGGAGTAAACATGAAAACTTGTTGCTTTCAGCACCAAGAAACACAATGACTCTAGTGTACACCATTTTACCAGTTTGATATCCCTTCCTCATTTATTTCAAATGTCTCCTCTTCATCTTGTCCTCATTCAAATGTTTTAATTTTTTATTTTATATAAAGTTTTAATGTAATTATAAAATACCCCACATGCTAAAATAGGACTTCCAGAATGGCCATGAGAGGAATATGGTAGACTCTTTCTCCAGTGAGACACATCTAATTGATGGAAATTTTTAAAAATGATAATTTAAAGTCTCTAAATATCACCCTAAGTACATACATCAAATGGAGAGATTAAGTTATTCTACTAAATTTCATTAAAAGCAGTGAGAGTCTATTGCATGTACACTGTGATCCACCATCACCTCTCTCATCCTCTCTTCCCCTGCTATCCCAACTCAATAAGATAGAACCACTGAGCTTCTATTGTACTCAGGGCAAGTGTATTTTTTTTGGCAAGAATAACCAAGAATAAGGGTCACCTACTCCTCCCATTTCCAGTATAAGTACAACAGTTTCATCTTAGGATGGGCAGGATTTCAGCATCTCATCTCTTTCAGCTCTGTGTTACAGAATCTATTCGAGGCAGTTGCAATTGAAAGAAACTAGTGCTTCCATACGTCCTCTGTTCATGGGGTAGAAGTTTTACACCAGACATGACAGTATGAGAATAATGGGCCTTGATTGCCTTACCCCCTAGCTTGCGCACAGAGAATAATGCTGCCTACCATAAAGGAAAATCCTAGAAGTCAGGGGGACTAGTATTCCTGCCCACCTGTACCCACTACTAGATCTACAAGAATTTCCAGGAAAAGTTGATTATTGTTCTTGCCCCCAGTACCATTACAGAGGTATAAAGATTCAACCCAAAGAGAGAGGCAAGCATTAATAACAGAGATCTGCAACTATTTGGAACAGGGTACGTTGAAAATATATACTTAACAGTTGTAAAAAATATAACTGAGAAGAAGATAGTTGCTCTATGATACTAGTAATAGCAAACAAAACAGCAGGTGAACTTAAGTTTAACAGAAAAAACAAAGGAAAGAGACAGTTAAAAAGAGTCCTTCTGAGGTCAGAGCAAAACCTCAAGGCCAGCATTACCTTGACTATGCAAATATGTTTTATCTCAGGAATGGAAGATTGAGTTGAACTTAGAAAACAACTTTTGTAATATATTAATAGAACAAAGACTAAGACCACATGATTATCTCAATAAATGTAGAAAATCATTTGAAAATATTCAACATTTTTTACAGGAGAATCCTCATGAAATTAGAAAGGGAAGGAAACTTTTTCAACACAAATTTTACTGCTATGTACTGAATATTTATGTCCATTTAAAATCAGAATTTTGAAACTTAAGCCATACTATATGTATTTTGAGGTGGGGTCTTTGGGAAGTTATTAAGATTAGTGCTGTTCTGAGTAGTGGCAGAAATAAGAGAGAGCTTTTGTTCTCTCTGCTTACTCCCATGTGAAGATATGACAAGACGGCCATCTTCAAACTACTAAGTCCTTAACCAGACATGAGGTCTGCCAACATCTGATCTTGGAATTACAGTTTTTAGAATAGACACGCATTTGTTTTTCAAGTCATCTGGTCTATGGTATATTTGTTATAGTAGGCCAAACTAACTAATACAGCCATCTATGTAACTAACCCTCACAGCCATCATTATATTTAATTGTGAAAGATTGAATGTTCACCCTAAGATATTTGGCATATGAACATTTCATTAATCACATTTAAAAATAATCTAGTTCTTACTTAATAATTCACACTGATACCTTTATGCATAACCTATTGCAATATTTCACTCCTTCCAACCTTTTCCAGTGTCTTTCTTAGAGTTATGTCTTTTTTATAAATAACCATGATGGTTTTATCTCTTAAGAAAAAAAAGAATTAAGATCTTAATTCTTCAGGTTTAAAATGTATCGTCACAGTAATGTATATAATATTATGTTAATGTCTCAATCTTAGTGTTCTTTCTTTGTGTCTTTGTTTTTATTTTTCCATTAGGCTTGTTACAGAAAATTCTTTTTTTCAGATTTGAAACGTCTCCATTTGCTTAGAAGGGATTTCAGTCTACTTACACATATTGTGTGAATTTACAATTTGGTTTCATTCTCTTAGTCTTAATTAGGACATGAATAACAGTTTTATTCTGCATGACTTGCCCCCTTAGATATAAGTATTCTCCCTTTAAAGCTCTAATCCCTACTTTAAAAATTATTTTGAGAGGATTCCAATCCTAAATTTCATATTCAGCAATATACATATAATTACTGGTGCTGATATAAATCTATTAAGCTAATATCTTTTTTTTCCTTCCTTTATCTTCATGAAGACAAATTGAGTGGCAGCAGTAATGCAAACAAAAGACAAAAAATTGCCCAAGACTTTCTTAACTCCATTGACCAAACAGGAGAACTCTTGGCAATGTTTGAAGATGATGAAGTTGATGAAGTTAAACAAGAGAGAATGGAGGTATTGTACATCTTCCCTTTTTACTATAGTTTTAATAGAATAATCTTGGCAGTACTTATGCCATGTGGTTCTATTCTTATGTTCTTGAGATAATGTCTGAACTGTCCTAATCAGTGGTTTTTATGTCTGAAGACCGTATTCTACAGTGAGTAGCCCTGGAAGGGGTGTCAAACTACCTTCATAGGTGACCTTGGAGGATGACTTCAGATTTTTGTTTCTTCCCTTTGAACACAAGTAGATTTCCCTAAACCACCTTCCAGGTCTCTCTTTTACTGATATTATTTTATCCCATCAAAGTTAATTTATAATTATTTACTTTTTTTTTATTCCAAATCATTTGTCTTTGGGCAAAAGTAATCCTTGCTGGTTTTGTGTTGGTATATAGTATGAAGAGCTATTTTTTTTCAGGCTATAATTGCAGACTGTGGTTGGACTTAATAGGTAAGGTAGTATCCAGGACAATTATATGCTTCATATCACTATAACACAAAGTTAGTGACATATGTTTGGATTCCCTGCATATGTTCTAACAATGAATATGAAAATAAGTATGCCTTCTATGTACTTTTGCTATCTCTACATAAAATTATTGTTTGCTTAAATACTTCTGGAAAAATAAAAGTAATGATTAATTTTATTTAAGTGCTTTTCAAAATACAAAGCATTAATCTTATCGTTCTTATTACTGTTACTACACTTTTATATGTAAAATTCTTCGTTTTCCCTTCTCTTTAAATTGGCCAAGAGGGAATTCCTGAACTCCAAAGAATCATGTTAAGTGCCTGTTTTATCATAGACTCTATGTTTGCTAAAAATGTAATTATTTCATGTTAAATTTTGGAGGAAGTCCAATGCACACATATGCTTTGTAAACTTTAACAACCTTCTTTAAAGAATTAGTATTCTTAGATCATGAACTGTGATCTAAAGGCAATGCTCTTCTTAGGTATCAATTACCTAAGAAATGTGTGGTTATCTTGGTTTGGGCAACTGCAAATGGTTTTAGTTCAACTTCGCCTTGGGCCAAAAACATGCTAAGTTGTCCAAAGCAGATGATAAACATATATTTCTGATGTCATTATGGGCTAAACAGGATATGATTGTTTAGTGGCATGGTTTCATTTATGATACATTACACAGAGTGCAAATATTGCTTATGCCTTATTTTTAAGACACTTTTCTATCATACAAATGGGCATTAAGAAGGGACATTAAGGACTGACTATAAAACTTTAGTAATATTGAACAAATAGTTTTTCAATTTTGATGAGAAAAATCTGTCAACCAAGCCCATTGCCCAAAAGAGCATTTCACAATCAAGGAAGAGAGAAGAAATAGAGCACGGTATAACTCTAAACTCATAATAGCACAAGTTCCTGAGTTTTTATTACTTTGCATAAAAAGATATTTTATTAATTTTAACTTATACCTTACTGACTCGTCATTTGTCCAGGCCTACAGTAGCCTGCTATTATAAGTCAGCTTCATCAGTGCAACAAAAATTGGATTGACAGTTTCCCTAAGCTTTATATCGTAAGTAGAATCTTCTTTAACACTAATAAAGAGTAGCTTTGAGATTCTACTCATCCAAATAACAGTTTAACTGAATAAAAAATGCTGAACTTGTAGACATAACTGTAGACAGTAGAAAGTGGAACCGTTAAGAGCATAGGCCTTGCCTGCTTCTAATTTGACAGGTTACAGTTTCAAGCATAAACCACAACTGTAGCAATCCATATGAAACCACTTTGGACTCACAGACTGCAATCTCTTGCTTTTAAAGTGCAGTAGAATAATCAGTCCTGGCATCACTCAGTGATTTAATTTTCCTCTAAGCATCACTTACTGTTGCAGAAACTCTGTTTACTACCTTCTCCCGGGAATGTATGAGAATGGTATAAACCTACCAACAAAGCTTATTATTGTTTCTTTTGTTTGCTTGTTTGCTTTTCTTCCTCTCTTTTCCTTCCTTCTGCCTTCCTTTTTTATTTAAAAATAAATTAGAAGAGAAAAAAATTTACAATATTACAACTACAGTACCCAACTTTTTGTCAAAACACCAAGCTAGAATCAGAAAGCTCTGTTCTCCCCTTTTGTTTTCAGCTGATTTCTGTGTGTGTCTGGCTTTCGCTCATAGTGTACTTCATTATTATTAAGTATGATATGACTTGGAATGTTAAACTGTTTTGATTTCTCCACCCATTTTTACTTGATAATCTATCATCAACTTAATTAACTCTGACTCTACTCCTTTTTCTCTAGCATTATTTGTCTAACACTTGTAGAAAAGTAGAGATTCATGACCTGTGATATTTAAGGACCCTTCTAAATTATCAAATCAAGATTAAATAATGGTCATAGTTATATTAGTGTTTTTGAGGAACTGAGAGAGAAAAATAGCATAATAACATATAAAAATACTTCTCCCTCCAACCAGCTCTCATTCCCACTTACCATCCTCGAGTATGACACAGATCTATTTTTACTGTTGATCCTTCCTCTTCCATTTGATTTCTGGTCAACAAATGTGGCCCTGCCAACCAAAGGCCAAGAAGGGCCATTAAAAGCTACAAAGTAGATTTGGGTTTTCTTAATAGAGAAACTGGTCATTCACAGAGGAGCTTTGTTGAAGTCCTAGCTAGTCTTTTATGTAGAAGCCTGAGAAGCTCAAGTTCATCATTAGTTCAGTAGAATATCCTGTTTAATTGTCCAAAAGACTTACGGAAGGGATGTAAACAACAGTTGCCTAATAAATTGGGTGAACATTACTTTCTGACTCAAATTAATAAATGAAGAGCAGCAAGCAAAAATTAGATCTCAGCTGCGAGACATGCCTGTAAAAGACTAGGGTGTTGAAAATCTACAGGAAATGTTTATCTTGTGCTTGGTAATCCTGAGGCCTAATACTGGAATCTAGACAGCAAAATATGTTACATAAAATGTAAGGTAATTTAAGCTTTTTTTTTTTAATTTGGCTTGAATTTGAATAAGATCCCAAAGTGGTCATCAGAATTTTATATGAAATGAATTGGTCATAGATTTTAAAACACAAAGTTTCTTATAAAGTCTAACCAGATAAATCAAGTATTCCATTCATTTTTGCTCCAAGTGTAATAATATTGTGATGGAGGATTTGAGTTCCAATATTATAGTTTTGGGCACTCCAGGGAGAGTTATTGGAGAAGCCAGAAATGTGAGTGACTGTGATGTTCTGTCTTCTCTTGTTGATATTTGTCTTTCTACTGTCCCCCTTTTCTACTTGCTATAATTTTTTTAATTATAAAGGAAAGGAAAATGATATGTTTTTAGCACTAAGCTTTCAAAATAGTATCATAGATCTAAGATTTATCAAAAAAGCTACTCCCAATAAGATAATTATTTACAGGCACCAAAAAAAACTTAAAAGGTTAAGTTAAAACTGGAACCCCCAAAAAAGTTTACATATTTTAAATATATATGTGGTTAAGGAATACAGAATTTATATGGTGAAAAGATACAAGGTCTATATACATGTGTGAAAACACAAATATGTATAAACATTTATACACACACACACACACCATGCCCTGTGTGAATGTCCTACATCTATAAGAATAGAAATGTAATTGTACTAGATTCTTTAAAAAATAAAAGGATAATCAGAGATTTGCCAGACTCAGATTGTAGCAGTGACAGTGTTTGTTCAGAGAGAAGAGAATGCAAGGGAGAAAGCTTGGTACAAAATCAGTAATTTTACATTGCTAAAAATGCTGCCCATAATGATGATTTTAAACACAAAATGGCAAACATCAAATTCATTGAAACACAAACATAATCTTCCAGTACTGTGGGAGATTTCAGAGAAATGTGTTTGCTCTGGAGGCTGCAGCATACATTGTTCAGTATTTAACAGACTGACTCAGGAGAAAATATAAGGACAAAATCTTAAATTCACTTAACAGATAGTTATAAAACATTTTCTTGATGAGTGGCAATTTTAAAACCTTACCCAGGAAGTTTCACTGACTCCAGGCTTTCTTTAAGGGAAGGTAAGGAAAGGTTTTGAGGGACTCGTTTCTATCCTCCTGCTCACCTTTAGCCAGAACACCTTTGATTGATTTTACATCATGGGTCTTCATATCAATAAAGAAGTTCACTGTTTTTTTGTTTTGTTTTGTTTTGTTTTAATCAACATAGAACTATCCATGGGAAATCAAGTCTTTCTCTCTCTCTCTGTCTCTATCTTACATGCACACACACACATACTCAAGAAATTCCAAGACATGTACATGTATAAAGCATACTACCTTACCAAAGCAAAAAACAAAACACCTAAAATAGTAAGAGAGTTCAGACAAACAAAACTCTGATAGGAAAATTTTAAAGAAAAATGAAGCAATTAATGACTGACAACAAATAAATTAAAAATCACTCATAGACTAGATAACAGCAACAAGAATAGTTCATATAAAACTGAATTATTATGGGTAAACCTTTATTTAAAAACACAGGTAGCGTTTTAGCTTTTATAACTCATCAAGTTGTAAAAATAAAATAAATACTCAGTTAAAATTGGAAATTTTACATCATAATAAAAAAATAAGAAAAATGAAAATGGAAACAATTGAATTTTCTAATTTAAGGAATTCTTTGCAAAAATAAAAAAAACGAATGAGACTAAGACAAGTCTAAATAAGAAAAACAAAAAGCTGCTAAAACTTACAAATGAATAAGGATATAGCCAGGCTGAATAAATCAGTTCTCATATAGCTTTACTATTATGGTTGTGAATTTTACTATTATGGTTGTGAATTTTCACAATGGGTGTTTTTCTAAGAAAATGTGATAGGTTTTACTAGACAGATTAATGCCTGGATAAATCATGACCAAGTATCACAATATAATCTCATGTATGCCTATAGATGTGGTAATACTTAGCAATATATTTGCTAAATAAAATATTATTTTATTAAATTAATTTACATTTATTAAATAACAAAATTTAGCAATTTTAGTTTGGC